TACAGACAGTCCTCAAATTACAACAGTTTGTTTAATGACCGAACACCACTTTAAAAAGTGACTGACGGACATTTTTCACACTTATGACCGTTGCAGCATTCCTACGGTCATGCGATCAAAAACCGGACATGGAGCAACCGACTCATATTTGTGACAGCTGCAGTGTCCCAAACCTTCTAACTAGCAAAGTCAATAGGGAAGCCAGATTCACTTAACAACCATGTTACAAATGCCAGGGTTCCAAATAGCATCCAAAAGTAAATCAGAGTCCAAGGCAAAATGTTGCTCAAAGTTCCAATTTATTAAGAGAGCCATGTTGGCACATCTGGGAAAACCTGAAAGCTTCCTGGTTTTCCTCACCCAGCTGAAAGTTTAAGATCATGCCCCCACCCCCACAAGCCCGTCACATGGTCCAATCTTCCACTGCCATGCTGGCAGTTCCACCCATCCAGCTCCGGTCAGATGCAGAGGTGCAGAGACAAAAGATGACCTTGGCTTTCTAGAAAGGATTTTGTTATGGCTACATAGCATCTAGCTCCATACACTCCCCCCTCCCATTTTCCCACAATAGAAAAAGGCATAGTAGAATAATAGAAAGTGTGGCAGGCCAAAGATCCAAGAGGAATATGGCTGCAGGCCTGACAACTAACTTAACAAGGGCAGTGATTCAATTAACAATTGTGGCAAAAGAAAGGTCATTCAATGCGGCAAAATTCACTTAACAACTGCTTAGCAATAGAAATTTTGGTCTCAATTGTGGTCGTAATTTGAGGACTACCTGTAGACACCTTTGGCCCAGTTGCTCTATCTCAAAAGGTTATACAGGTAGTCCTCAACTTACGACCACGAGTAAGCCCAAAATTTCTGTTGTTGAGATATTTGTTAAGTGGGTTTTGCCCAATTTTGTGACCTCTCTGGCCACAGTTGTTAAATGAGACACTGCAGTTGATGAGTTAGTAACCCGGTTGTTAAGTGAATATGACTTCCCCATTGACTTTGCTTGTGAGACGGTCACAAAAGGTGATCACATGGCGGTCATAAAAATGAGTCAGTTGTCATGTTAATTTTGATCACATGATCTTAGGGATGCTGCAAAGGTTGTAGCTGTGAAAAGCGGTCATAAGTCACATTTTTCAGTGCCGTTGTAACTATGAATGGTCACTAAATGAACTGTTGTAAGTCAAGGACTACCTGTATTATGCACATAAGAGGAGGAGAGATTCCCTGTGGACTGTACCTTGAGATCTCAAGAGGAAATATAGGATATGAATGCAAGGCTGAAACAAATAATACAATCAGTACATACTTCTATAGATGTTCCACAGGTTTTGAGAGAGAAGATGAGGTTGACATGCGTGCCATTGGATACCCCTTTGCAGGAGCCATTGGTAAGCGAGAGGTCCATTCCCCCAACGAGATCCTTGGGAATATTCACTTCTATAGATGTAGATTTACATATCACCGGAACTGTAAGAAGGAGCACAGCCAGTAAGTGAGTCAGAAGTTAAAACACCACCTTTCAGTGATATCCCTGTAAGAAGCAGGATTAAGTCTTTTTGAATAGCTGTCACTTCTAAAATCAAATGTTTCCAGGTTCTGGCCTGGGGAAATGATGCTTTGATTTCCCATGGTGGCACAGTGGTTATACTGCAGTATTGGAGGCTGACTCTGACTTGAGAGACCGCCTGCTGCCAATTACCTCCCAAAGACCCATTAGATCACACAGATTAGGCCTCCTCCGGGTTCCGTCTACTAGCCAATGT